GAGGAGCGGATGGTGTTTGCAATGGGAATTAGGGTTTAGGGTTTAGACTTTACGGTTTGCGAGATTGGCCTTGTGAGGGAATTAGGGTTTAGGGTTTAGGGTTTAGGGTTTAGGGTTTAGGGTTTAGGGTTTGGGGTTTGGGGTTTGGGAAAGGGCAGCTTTACCCAGGTTTACTCTCCGATGCCGCAGCAGCAGCAGCAACCGCAGCCGAACGCGCGCCGGCAGCAACAACAGCAGCCCTCACCAGCAGCTGCAGCATTTGCTGCTGCTGCTGCTGCTGCTGTTGCTGCTGCTCTTGCTGCTGCTGCAGTTAATGCAGCACGAGTCGGCTGAGCGCCAATGCGCTGCTGTTAATTAGTGTGCCAGTTACTAACCATCTGTCTGCTGCTGCTGCTGCTGCCCTTGCTGCTGCTGCTGTTGCTGCTGCTGCTGCTGCTGCTGCTGCTGCAGGGGTTGTGGTGCCTGTGGTGGGGCTGCAGGGCCTTGCTGCGCGCATATCGGGAGCAGCAGAAAGGACAGAAGCTGTGCTGCAGGCAGCAGCAGCAACAGCAAGAGACACGGAGGCTCTTGCTGCTAAGCACAACCAAATGAAGGCAGCGGTCAGTGGGCCTGCTGCTGCTGCTGCTGCTGTTGCTGCTGCTGCTGCTGCTGCTGTTGCGAACGCCGTGCTGCTGCAGCTGCTGCTCTTTGTGCTGCAGCTGGGGCGAATTAAGAAAAGACATGCAGTGCTCGGCCACAGCCTCATAAGGGCTTTAGGGCTTGTTGAAGGTGCGCACAGTTGCTGCTGCTGCTGCTGTTGATGCTGCTGCTGCTGCTGTCGCTGCTGCTGCTGTTGGCGCTGCTGCTGCTGCTGCTGTTGGCGTCGCAGCAGTTGCTGCTGCTGCGGATGCACGAGAAGCAGTTTGACCCCACTGCAACGCTGCTGCTTGTTGGGGTTTTTTGGCTATATTGCACGCTGCTGCTGCTGCTGCTGCTGCTGCTGCTGCTGCTGCTGCAGGGTTGGCTGTCAGCCGCGGCGTCTGTGAAAGGAATCCACGGTGTGAAGCAGCAAACGAGCAGCTGCTAGCTCAAATCCAGGTACTGTCGCGACACAGCAGCAGCAGCAGCAGCAGCAGCGAAAGTTCTTAGTGCTCTAATAGCAGCAGAGCTGGCAGAAGCAGCAGCAGCAACAGCAGCAGCAGCAGCAGCAGCAGCATGTCGCTCCCGTTAGCGTTAGCAGTCTGGTTCGCCTATGGGCAGTCACGTTGCTGCGGTTGTGTCTTGTGGTGCATGCTTTCTTCCCGAGTCAATTTAAGCTGCTGCTGCTGCTGCTGCTGCTGCTGCTGCTGCTGCTGCTGCTGCTTGTGGCGCTGCAGGAGGAGTTTCAGTGGGCGGACTGGCAGCAGCGGATTGACGGGCTGCGCGTGTGGCTGTCGAGCCTGCAGCAGCAGAAGCCGGAGGCCTGCAGCAGCAGCAGCAGCAGCAGCAGCAGCGAGCAGCAGCAGCCCGCGGTGGCCCCCGCGCTGCTGCGGCTGCTCACTGTCCAGGCAGAGACAATGCAGCAGCTGCTGCAGTCTCTTGCCAACACAGAAGCAGCAGTTTCCCGTCTCCAGGCTTCTGCCCTCGCAGCTCGTTCCCGCGCAAAGTGATGGGGGCCCCCTGGGGCCCCCCTGGGGGCCCCCTGGGGGGCCCCCTGGGGGCCCCCTGGGGGGCCCCTGGGGGCCCCCTGGGGGCCCCCGGGGAAGCCCTTGGGGGGCCCCCTGGGGGGCCCCCTGGGGGGCTTCCTGGGGGGCCCCCTGGGGGTCCCCCTGGGGGGCTTCCTGGGGGGCCCCCTGGGGGGCCCCACAGGGGCCCCTGCGCAGGAGGCCTAGCGGGGGCCCCCACAGGGGTCTCAGGCCCTGGGGGCCCCCTGGGGGGCCCCTGGGGGGCTCTTTTCTGTTTGGCTTTTAATCTCAATTTATTTTGTCCCCTCTTTGCATTTTTTGGCCCATTTGTGTCTCCATTTGAGACCCTAAAAGGCCCACTCTGGGGGCCCCAGGCCAAGTTTAAGGGGCCCCCTCAAACCCAGCAAAGGGGCCCCCAGGGGGCCCCCTTTGCTGGTACCCTAGGGACGCTGCAGGGGGGCCCCCTGCTGCAGCAGCAGCCAGAGTTCTGCTTCAGAGGGGCCCATTGGGTTTCTTGTGAGTCAGTGAGCCTTTTGGGGGCCTTTGGCAGCTTCGTGTTGCGCTGCTGTGGCTGCTGCTGCTGCTGCTGCTGCTGCCGCTGCAGCAGCAGCAGCAGCTACAGCAGCAGCGGCAGCTGCTGCTGTTTCAAGGGACTGGATTTGTTTGCACTTTCTTGTTGATTTAAATCAATTAAAAGACCAGCAGCTGCATGCAGAGCCTCCAACGCAACAAGGCCCCCACGGGAGGGGGGCCCCCAAGGTGGGGCCCCCAACTAGGGGGCCCCTAAGGTGGGGCCCCCCACTAGGGGGCCTCCAACTATGGGGGCCCCCACCTAGGGGGCCCCCACGGCGAAGGCAGGGGGCCCCCCTTCTGGGACCCCTCTTTGGGGGGCCCCCGGGGCCACAGACACTTGAAGCTTTAGTGTTGTTTTCTGTTCTTGGCGAGGACTTTAATTAAACAAGAACATATAAACATTTGATTTATTTTCTTCATCTAATTAAACAATTGCATGCGCATGCAGGACTATAACTGCAGCTTTCACACCCTGAGGGGCCCCACAGCAAATAAACCCTTTCTAGGGGGGCCCCCTTGAGGCCCCCGTGGGGGCCCCGAGAGAGGGGGCCCCCCAAGGGGCCCCCCAGCAGCGGGTTTCCAGGATAAGCAGCTGTGGGGCAACTGCAAAGGACCCCACAAGGGGCCCCTATGCCTTTTGACCTCTCTGGACTTTTTAATGACACTAAAACCCAATAAATACATTTTTAATGATACTAAAACCCAAATAATACATTTTTAATGATACTAAAACCCAGTAAATGCATGCTGAGGCGAAGACAACAACCCCACCAAATCACCACCCGTTTCAGTTTTGCAGAGCCTCAGGTGTACGTACAGCGCAGTGGCTGAGCTCGCTGCGCGTGGGGCACTTTCTGAAGGCTGTGGGGCCCCTAAAGGTATTTTTAGTGGAGAGGAAGAAGAAAAAGAAGACAAAAGACAAAAGACAGGGGAAAAAGGAACAAAAAGGAACAAAAAAGAAGACAAAATCGCAGAGACGCAGCTAAATGGGCTGCAGCAGAAGGAAACATTTCCAGAAATGTGAGAAATATGGACAAGACCTCAAAAGAGCTGCTGCTTCTGTTTTGGGGTGTGTCTCGCGCAGGTGTACAGACACCTGGAGTTTTTTGTGGGAGACATTCAGGTGTACGTACACCCCAGCTTGCAGGTGTGCAGAAACGTTTCCGCATTTGCAGGCGCCGTTTCAGCGGCCTCGTTTGGCTTTTGGACTTCATTTCTTTTTTGAAAACATTTTATTTCTCCTTTTAATCTCTTTTTGTCTATTTCCAGCTCCACTCGCCGCAGCCCGAGTTCCTGCTGGCTGCACTTCTTCTCGCGGCGCACCCGGCGCCAACTCGCAGCCTTCGAAGCTGAGCTGGGCTTTGAAACAAAATTCAGAAAAATCTCCGAAATACCTTTTTGAGTGCTTTTTGAGTGCAGCAGCAAAGCGAGATTAAATAAGACTTGCAGAGGTGCACTAGTAGACCAGGCCAGTACACCTCGGAGGCCGTGCTGGCTGTCTTGAGCCTAAACCCTAAACCCTAAACCCTAAACCCTGCGCTCTAAACCCTAAACTCTAAATCTAAACCGGCTCTGAAGAGCAAACTGACAAAGACGGAGGGGTGGCGGCCACCGAGGGGGGCCCCGGGGTGGCAGCAGGCGAGCCGGGGGGCCCCCCACGAGGCTATCTCTCGGGATTGCGCGTGTCTGCAGCTCTTTGGGATTATTTGAATTCTTCATTTGTTTTTATTTTGTTTGGATTTCCTTTTTGAACTTCTGCAAAAAGTGCCTGAGGCAGAAGCCTGGCCCGCCGTTTGCACACTCCCCCCAAGTGCCCAAGTGCCATTTGCTGCACTTCATTTCTCCCCTTAGCGCAGCAGCAGCAGCAGCAGCAGCAGCAGCAGCCCAAGACAGCCCCCAAGCCTGCAGCGGGAGCAGCCACAGCTGCTAGCTGCAGCAGCAGCCTCGCGGGGCCCCACAAGAGAGGGCCTCAGTGCCTTAGAGGCCACAGGGGCCCCCAGGGCTTTCTCTTACTGTACCCTGCTGGCAGCAATGAGGCTTGGGGGGGCCTCCAGGGGCCCCGGGGGCCCCCCGCGGGGGCTGCTGCGGGCCCCCAGGTGCATGCTCTTTCTTGCTGCTTGCTGCTGCTGCTGCTGCTTCCTGATCTTGGGGGGCCCCGCTGGCGCTGCAGCAGCAGCAGCAGCAGCAGCTCCGCCGGGGGCCCCGCGGGAAGTGCCCGACGCAGCGGCAGCGGCGGCCGCCGCAGCAGAAGCTGCAGCAATAGCAGCAGCAGCAGCAGCAGCAGCAGCAGCAGGACCCGCCAAGGCCCTCCAAACCCCAGCCCAAGTGCCCCTTAAAGTCGTGGGCAGCCGCGTGGCCCTGCAAGTCCAAGTGGGGGGGCAGCAGCTGCTGCTGGGGCTGGACTCTTGCAAGGAGGGTTTGCGGCTGTTTGCTTCGGGGTCTTCTGCATGCACTTCTGGCAGGCGCGGCTCGCTGCTGCAGCAGCAGCAGCAGCAGCAGCAGCAGGCCCTTGCTGCGGCGCGGCGGCAGCAGCAAGCTGCTGCGGAGGACGCCGGCAGCCCGCGGGAAGCGCCTGCGGGAGAGCCAGCAGCGGCGCAGCAGCAGCAGCAGCAGCAGCAGCAGGGGGACGCCGAGGCGAAGCAGCGCAAGCAGCTGGCGAAGCAGCAGCAGCAGCAGCAGCAGCAGCAAGACTGCTACAACCCCGATGCTTCCAGCAGCAGCACTTGGTGCCTCAACTGGCACGAAGTTTGTACCCCTTTTTCAGAGTCTCCTTTCAGCTGCCGGGCCTCCAAGCAGCACGACCCCCAATATGCTGCGCGGTGCGCTCGCTGCTGCTGCTGCTGCTGCTGCTGTTGCTGCTGCTGCTGCTGTTGCTGCTGCTGCTGCTGCTGCTGCTGCTGTTGCTGCTGCTGCTGCAGTCGACGCCGCGACGCGCCGTAGAAGCAGCAGCTACGGTTTTGCTTTTCTGTCTTTTCGTTTGCAACTGCTGCTGCTGCTGCTTCCGCCGCTGCTGCTGCTGCTGCTGCTGCTGCTTCGCATTTGCTGCTGCCCATTGCCTTCTCCCCTGCGTCTGCCGCTGGGGGTGTACAGGCACCTGCCCATTCTAGCTTCAGCAGCAGCAGCAGCAGCAGCAGCAGCAGCAGCAGCAGCAGCAGAGTTTGCTGTGCATGTGACTGCAGCTATAAGCAAATCGTGGACGGCATTTTCGTTTCTGAACTTCGCCTCGAGGGGTACGACACTGTGGAGCTGGTGCCGACCCACGTGGGGGGCCCCCCAGGGGGCCCCCCTGGGGGCCCCCCAGGGGGCCCCCCTGGGGGGCCCCCAGGGGCCCCCCAAGAGGGTACTGCGGAGATGAGTGTGCCTTCTTTCTTCTCTCTCCGCCTCAGCAAGTTTCCAGTGAAGTTGGTGTTGGAAAGAGACACGGACTTCGACGCTTACGAAGGTCTTGACGGAGTTTGGGGAATTGCAGGTGAGATTTAACTCTTTTGAATTAATTTTCGAATTAATTTGAAGTCCTTTTTGCAGGTTCTCCTGGCTGGGGGCCCCCCCCTTCCCCTGCGTACCCGGGGGGCCCCCTGTACCCTGGGGGCCCCTGCGGGGGCCCCCCGGGCCTCTGGGGCAGCTGGGGAGGCCCTAAATGCCCCTGGGGGGCCCCACAGTCTTTTGAAAGACTTTGCTGCCTCTCTGGGTCTTAAGGGCTCGGGGGCCCCTAGGGGGCCCTTTGTGGCTGTGCTGCTGCTGCTGCTGCTGCTGCTGCTTAGTTGCTGCTGATGTGCTTCGCCGGCCGAAGCAGGAGCTGCTGCGTTCTTGCTGCTGCTGCTGGCGGCGCTGCAGTGCGCTGGAGTTTGTGCTGCAGCAGCAAGAGCTGGCAGGTGGTCCACTGGTCTTGCTGCCTAGCTCCGTGCTGCAGCAAAAGCTGCCGAGTGGTCCACTGGTCTTGCTGCTTGTGTGGGCTGCTGCGGCTCAGGGCCGGACCTCTGCTGCCGCGAAGCTTCTTTGTGGAATTTGCTTCTGGAGCCGGCGGTGAAGGGCGTGGGACTGGACATCAACTTGCCGCCGCCGCGTGCTGCTGCTGCTGCTGCTGCTGCTGCTGCAGCAGCAGCAGAGGCCCCGCCGGAGCCGGGGCCCCCTGCCGAAGTGCCCTCTTTCCTTTATTTCTCCCGAGAGGCCCGCAGCATTTTCGGAGAAATGGAGTGGGCGCAGCGCATGCAAACGGGGGCTGCTGGGGTGGACGCTTTGCTGCACTTCACAACTTTCGACTGGAAGCTCTGCGGCGAGCCAGTGGGCCATCCTCTTTCGCGGTCTTGGGAAGCAGTTGTGGACTTGAGGTGAGTGGACTTTGGAAAAAATGCACAAGTGCAGCGGAAAAAGCAGATTCGCATGCATTTTGCAGCTTTCCGAAGCAGGACTCAGTAGCAAAAGAGGGTTTTGCAAAAGCTGCAGAAGCAGCCTTAGAGCGAGGAAACGCAGCAGAAACGCATGCAGAGAAGCACAGCCTCACAGAATATTCCAGAGGCTCTTCTTAGGACATTCGGAGTTGTAGAATGGGCAAGTGGTGGCGTGAAATGGGTAGCTGCTGCTTCCACAGGCGGCTGCAGAGGATTGAGACAGGAGTGTGTACTTGACTTGCTTTTTCCGCGAAGTTGAATGCGCTGTGCTCTCTCTGCTGCTGCTGCAACTGTTTGCTGCTGTGGGCTCGTCTGCGGCTGCAGCTCGGAGTGCCTGGTGGTGCCGCCGCCCATGTGGAAAAGCCTGCGCGCTTGGCTGCCGCTGGACGTGGAACATGAACTTTGCAAAGACCCTGAGGCTGAAGAAGACTCTTTGAATGCGCACATATCTCGCCCAGTGTCGTTGCAAGGAGAAGCTGGAGAGAAGACCTACAGACGCACTTGCCCGCTGCTGCAGCGACCCAACAGCCGGCCGCTTCCTTCTCTTTCTTTCGCTCTGACTCAAACCCAAAGTGATCCCCCCAGGCTCCAGATTCCCCTTGAAAAACTTGTCATTCATGAAGAGGGAATAGGAGATGTCCTCTGCGTCGTGCCGCAGCCCTTCCTTTCCATGGGCGCTGACCAGTGGAGGCAGATCCGCTTCGGCACCAGAGGTCTGCGCAGCAGATAGAACATGGCCAATAGATTCAACAACTGTGCTCCAATAGATTCAACAACTGTGCACTAAAGGAAAAGAAAGACAGATGTTGCACAGGCCCGAGTGCTGATGCGGCAGTGGAAGACAGTTAACTGCGCTGTTGCTGCTTTCTTCACACGTTTCACGGCACACAGACCTGCAATTCTGATCCTTTTGAGGTGTTTTGCTGTCTTGTGCCCCTGCAGTTTTCTCTTTGTTCACGGCGCACAGATCTGCAGTTTCGCTCCTTTTGAGGTATTTTGCTGCCTTGTGCCTCTGCAGTTCTCTCCTTGTTCAAGTTGGTGATGGATCGCGACAACTGGCGAGTGGGACTTAAGGAAAAGCACGCGGAGCCGGCCAACGACGTTGCCTGCGCAGACCGCGCAGTCTGCATGTAAATATCGCATCACCTTATCTTCAGAATTAGAAATAGCACACTTCCTGCTTGTCTTGATTTATGCTTTCCTGTCTGAACAATGTACTTTGCAACTTCTCTTTAGTAACGCGCTTGCGTCCTACGATGCCCTCCTCATATCGATCACGCTCGCCGCCTTTTTTCCATTTGCACTCTTAGTGTTGTTTTTATGCTTGGTTGCTTTTCTTTTGGTATTGAGTCCTGATGATGGGGATACTGTTGTTTTGTATTTGAATGCAGAGGAGATCAGGTCTACGTGCCCTACACTAACAGGTGTGCGGATCCTGACTGCAGTGTGAAGATTCTCTTTGAAATGAACCCTGAAACAAAGTGAGCTGAGAAACGCAACATTGGCTCGCCAGACAATCTCTCTTGCAGCAAACGAATGCAGCTTTCCGCCAACCTGAGCATCCACGGCTTCTCAGTCTCAATGCCGAGTGTGTGTAGGCGTCTTTAGAATGTTTGAACCTGCAAAAGTTGCGAAAACGCGGACCTTGCAGGAAAATACTGTAAATGGAGCGTTTTCAAGTATGCAGTTCTGTGAGTGCTTGTGTGCTTGGTGCTGAGCAGAGTCTGTGAACTGGCGTGGTGGGTTCCTGGTGCGGTGGTGGCCGCAATTGCAGCTCTTGTCACACTGGAGCTTTACGTGCTTCACCTGCGCAGCAGGGTTGTGGCTGAAGCTTGCTCTGGGAGGCGCTAACGGCTGAGCCTGAACAAAACAAATAGCGACCGCTTTTGAGGGCTGCTGGCGTGCACGGCTGCAGACCCGTTTGGTCGCAGTAGGGTTGCCTTTGCAAAGGTGTAAAGGTAGCTGGGACCGTTTCGTGTTTGGCGTGCTCGCCTATTGTGAACAGGTTTCCCATGAGTCCAAGCTGATAGTTAACGCCTCCAGCGATTAACGAACGCAGTTTAGCTGCTGTTGCGAGCTAGACGGTGTCGACTTTTTCGCTGCCATACGTGATTTCTAGTCATCTTCTTTTCTGCAAGTTGCATTCATAGGTAGTGTTTGGCTAGATGCAAGCTAGACAGTTTAGACTTGTTCTCTGCCCTACGTGATTCCTAGTCATCTCCTTTTCAGAAAGCTTCATTCTTACGTAGTGTTTGGCTAGATGCGAAGAGCCAGATGGCAATGATATGGCTCGGCTCAAACGCTTCTGATTCGTGCTTCCACTCAGTCATCCGAACAGTGGCAAAGTAGGAAGCTGGCCTTTGATTCAGGAAACTACAGCTGCTTCAAAGGCCAAAAATAGTGGCAAAGTAGCAGAAGTGGCCTTTGATTCGTGGACCTCCTTGATTTTTGAAGCAGCTGCAGATTCCTCGCCTCTCACTTTGTCAATTCGATGGAGAAATGACTCTCTAAGTTCCGCCGTTGAGGTTCCAGACAAGGCCATTCAAGTTTGACATCCTGCTATGCCTTCATTTGTGAAAATGTCCTTGGACTAACTTGAACCAAATATGTAAAGCAAACCTGGGCTCATCGTATGGCGCGACAGCGGCGTGCACGAATTTATTGCAATTGCTTTTGAGCTGTGCGCTTCTTCATGGTGGCTCCACCAAAGCAACGGTTTCAAATGCAGCCCGCGCTTGTGCTGTTTCCGCTACACAGAGCAGCCATGCTGGGTAACTGCTCCCGGGAAGCTGAATAAGTGAATAGTGGCCTGTTTTATGCACTTCACCAAAGGCCCGGGCAGATCTTGAACCTTGTGTAGCAACAAGTCAGGTACTAGGCGACACGAAGTGCAAAGCGGTGGTCTACGTCCATTGTTGCACCAACGACGCCCAATGTGATCCCCTTGTAGTAGACCTCCGTATGCACCTGTGCTCAGTTGAGCAGGCTATTGCTTTTTTCAGCTCGGCATTAGCTAGTGGTATTCAGCTTGCTGATGTTCGTTACATGCTTGTGAGTGTTCGGTGCCGCTCCACCGCCGGAACAGTTCGCAGAGTTCTGCTGCTACGGGGCAGGGGTTATTAAGAGCAAGTGAAGTCTCTTGCCTCACTAGGACAAACTGGGCAGCAACAGGTACGCTGGCCTTCGAACAAAAATCCTGTGCTCAATATGCTGCTAGTAGCGTGAATTAGGAATTGCGACGGGTGCCAAGCATCTCCTTAGAAGTAGCTGTTGATTCCATTACTAGAAGAAACAATGTTCCAAATTCCATATCCACTGAGCCCTCTTTGCAGGGTCGTTCGTACTGCACTCTGCTACGACCTATTCAACCAGCACGGTGGAAACGTGCTCTTGGGCGTTTGTAGTTGTCAGCCACTGGAGTTTTGCTTTCCTCTGAAATATCGTCGGATTTAGAAGAAAAAGGTTCTTGAGATTACGCCGGCAACTAGGACTATGGGCGGTGTTTTGAGTAATGCGCCTCAAGACCGAAAGTGACCACCACCGGAAATGAACTCGAGGCCGCCAATTGAAAGAAATGCAGCGGTTCCATAGTATGATATAAACTGGAAAACATTAAAACTAGAAATTCAAATTCTTGAAGTTTTCAATGTGAAATGGCGCTCATGTTGCTTATGCAGCGCTTATACCGGGTAAGAGTCACTTCGCAAGTTCACACGGGCCTGGCACTCGCCGCGAGGAAAACAGGACTACGGCAACGGGCCGAATTTCTCTTTTGTAAAAGTTGGACGATTTATAGCTTTTCATTTGTTTCAAGGTCTCATCCGAGCGAAAATATAGGACGCGGAGCCTCCCTTTCCCGCTCCGAGCGGAGCCGTGGGACAGGTAAGCTGGCAGCCCGATAGGTTGCGCCGCCGCCGACCCCACATTGTGCACTCCGCGCGACTGTTGTTCGCAACTGCCTAAGCAAAGGCAACGGACCGTCACAAGGTCATAAAGTTAGTTTTCTGGGAGGTCCCGTGTTTGCCGATTCCTCTTCTTTTTTAGTAATCTGTGCAGGGGTTGGTAGCCGCCAAAGACGCCTACAGGTGTGTGCAGCTCCGTTAAGATGAGGCTGCACTCGTCCTTACTGCTCGCGCTGCCGGGCATATCTCTTGCAGCAGAGCTTGGCTCCCAGAGCTATGAGACACTTGAAAACACCCCTACATACTATGAAGCTCCTGCGATGACAGGAAGCATGGAAGCGGAAGGCTTCAGCGTCACAGAGACACAGGAAAGCAATGTCGAACAGGTGAATGCTGAAAATGAAGGGGCGGACAGACCAGATTGGAGAAAAAAGCTGAGAAGCCGGGGCCAATGTGACGCGACCACCAGCAATAACTTCACCGTTTCAGGTTCTGAAGACACCGCTCAAGCAGAAAAGGTACCTGAGGGAGAGTCATATGTCACATCCGAAGAACAAGGATACTTCAAAGAAGGGTAGGTACCTTGCTGCTGAGGATGAGGTTGAGGTGCAGTATGAGACCGAAACTATTGAGACTGCGCAGTACGAAACTGCAGAAGAACGCGGTCTTGGAAAGAAGAAGAAGACGACGATGTATATGGAACAACCCGTGAAGGTTGCTCCTCCTCCCAAGAAATATGTTCCACCTGTCAAGGCTCCTGCCCCAATCATGATGGCAGCTCCTACGAAAAAAGCTGCTCCCATGGTCATTGAGGCTGCTCCTATGATAATTGAAGCTGCTCCATCAAAGAAGGGTAGGTACCTTGCTGCTGAGGATGAGGTTGAGGTGCAGTATGAGACCGAAACTATTGAGACTGCGCAGTACGAGACTGCAGAAGAACGCGGTCTTGGAAAGAAGAAGAAGACGACGGTGTATATGCTTGAACCCGTGAAGGTTGCTCCTCCTCCCAAGAAATACGTTCCACCTATTAAGGCGCCGGCTCCTATCATAATGGCAGCACCTACAAAGAAGGCTGCTCCTATGGTCGTTGAGGCTGCTCCTATGATAATTGAAGCTGCTCCATCAAAGAAGGGCAGGTACCTTGCTGCTGAGGATGAGGTTGAGGTGCAGTTTGAAGCTGAGGAGGTTGAGACTGAACAGTACGAAACTGCAGAAGAGCGTGGTCTTGGAAAGAAGAAGAAGACGATGTATATGGAACAACCCGTGAAGGTTGCTCCTCCTCCCAAAAAGTATGCACCACCAACCAAGGCTCCTGCCCCAATCATAATGGCAGCTCCTACGAAAAAAGCTGCTCCCATGGTCATTGAGGCTGCTCCTATGATCATTGAGGCTGCTCCATCAAAGAAGGGAAGGTATCTCGCCGCCGAGGATGAGGTTGAGGTGCAGTATGAGACCGAAACTATTGAGACTGCGCAGTACGAAACTGCAGAAGAGCGTGGTCTTGGCAAGAAGAAGAAGACGATGTATATGGAACAACCCGTGAAGGTTGCTCCTCCTCCC